ATCTATCTATCTATCTATCTATCTATCTATCTATCTATCTATCTATCTATCTATCTATCTATCTATCTTTTTATCTATCTATATATCTATCTATCTATTTATCTATCTATCTATCTATCTATCTATCTATTTATCTATCTATTTATCTATCTATCTATCTAAACATGAATGAGTGTGAATTTCCATTATTTTTGAGCATCATCTTACCACCACTCGAAGGGGGCGATATGGAGCTGGTGTCCTGCATCATCGGAAGGCTCGTGAATATGTCCCTTCTTGCAGAGTTCCGTTTGGCGGATGAGACAGAGCCGCACTGAGGATGATGGTGTGTGACAATCAGGTTGCCATGATGACAGAGACGATGGCGTTCCGACTGCAACTGCATCGACTGGTGATCCTCCAGCTCTGCCATCGGCGGATGCAACCGATGGTGGTGGTAGTGGTAGTGGTGCTGGTCGCTATGCCCAGTTTGGCTGTATCCGGCATGACTGTGCTGGTGGGCATGATGAGAATGATGGTGCCGGTGACTGGCTGATCGGTGGATGTGCCGTTGGCGCGATTCCACACTTGCCGAATTACCGACCTCTCGAGATCCTCGTTCACGTTTGCCTTGACGCCAGAACAATGTGCGTGTGTGTGTGTGTGTGAAGAAGTATGATTTTTTTGCATGTAAAATGGCGAAATAAAGGTTGAGCATGATATTCAATGGGTTAGAGTAGGCAATAATGCTGGCATGAATGTACTGGCTACTTGCATATTTGTAAGTAGTATAAATTTTTTTAAAAAGAATTACACTGACTTAATTAAATCACTCATCGGCCTGGATGAGAAGGCCAATTCCGGTCTGCCTGGAATTTTCATCAGCTCTAGTAAGCTGACTACTAATCTATTTGTAAGTAGTACATTGTTTAATGGCAAATCACACCCTACGGACATGCTCAAACCATTCTTAGGCCTGTATGATAAGGCGATCTCGTCAACTCAACCGTCAGCAACTGTGTCTGCTAAACCGACCTGAGATGTGTGAAGGCGCCGAGACGGTTGTGTTTGCCGGATTGCCAGCAAAGTAGAACGGCCAGACGCGTTGACTGCTGCAACTATCGCCGGACGTCCTCGATCTGTAGACGTCGTCGGTGGGAGGCAACTTGTAGACCGGTTGATGATGAGGCTCATACTCATACACGTAGGGATAGACGGTATGTCCACCCTCTTCCGGGATGGAGAAGGCTGGCGTCGAGCGATCCGGCCTCCCGGTCTCCTGTCCAACTTGACCTGACGGTATGTACAGACAGTAGCTGCGGGGATTCTGAAAAAAAACGAGGAAAGATGTACCGCTTTAACCGGCCTATTCTACAGAGGCAGTAGAGGGAGACCAAAAAGTGTTAATTTCAAGTTTTGTGGCTCTACAAAGTTGTTATGTGATGGTGGTTATGTGATTTTGTTGCCAAGACTCTAGCCAAAAAACAATAACTAATGTCTGAGACCAACAACAGATTTATAGACTGATCAAACTATTCCATCATTTTCACTTGATGGACAAAAAAATTTGATTAAAACAAAACTATTACTTCTTTATCAATCATCAAGTTTAGATAATGCAAATTAGAGCCCCTACTCGTTTAGAAGTGATTAACGCCCGATTTCAGCAACAGATTAATTATATTCATCTACTCTTTCATTCTTGTCTCCGCTTGGACAAGGATAGTTGCAAAAATAATGCGAAACATCGTCTGTTATTGGATAGCTATTAATCTTATTTCTAGTTTTAGTCCATGCATGGACGAATATGTTTGGGTTTAAAAGCAAGGCTCATTTTAATCGCCATTGAATTACTCAAGTTTTCGGACAGAATATTTTAATCTCCCACTGCTTTGATGCTACTACTCACTATGGCGTAAGTAGTAACATTGTGCGTTAACAAATATATATTTATCCAGATTCTTCCTGGGTTTTAATCCATGAATGGACGGATATGTTTGCAAAACAGCTAGGCTAACCTTAACTGCCCCAGAATTACTCAAGCTCAATGACAAAAAAAATGTCATTCTTTCTGCCCTCATGCTACTACTCGCTATGAAGTAAGTAGACTCGTGAAGTGCCAATAAATGTCTATTCTCGTCTACCTTTTCGTTCTTTTGTCCGCATTGCCCGAGCTGGTCAGCTCCGGCCATTTCCGCCCTCGCGTAGTCGTCCATCCTGGACTCGTCGGCGCCGGACTCGGACGCCATCAGTCCGGCCGAGTGGACCAGCCTCCTGACCGGAAGAGGCGCCTCGTTGTACGTCTGTAGACAGCCGGTCAGCTGGGCCGGATGCAACAGAAACTCCGACTGACGCAGTTCCGGCCCAACTTTGACCTGTTGTGCATGGGTCGTGATGCCGGGTGGCGTTTGGCTCCACGGCAACTCGCCGGTGGAGAATAGGCCGGACAGGCTGGTCGCAATGTTGGTCTGCGTCAACGTCGGCGTCAGGCCGGTGAAGACGAGTCCGGACCGGCGAGCCGCGTCGACGCCGTTTCCCTCCTCCTCTCGCTCCGCCTCGTAGGCCGCGTCGTCCGACAGCGTCGACGGATACGACCAGGGCACCGCTGAAACACGCAAAAGGGAGGCTAGACAATTACGCGATCGCAGCAACAGTCCATGGCTCGAGTCCCCCCCAGCGACTCGGCGAATGCTTGTGCGTGTTGCCGGGACAACAAAGTCCGTGAAAGTGTGAGAGAATGTCTGTCAAGTTGAC